AATATTATAGGATGGAAATAAGCAGAGAAAAGACATGCCATTCACAATGGTTTTGGCAGTGATATAAATTGGGGCTCAAGTAAATAAATTCAGACAGCCAGGCCAAACATTTGTGTGACTTTTATACATTTTGTAATACCTTGCACAGCTGTACACGTGGATTATACAAGATTCTCTGGCGCAATTTCAAGTAAATTCTAGGATCTCAAAGGTCTGCCAGAAATAGCTTTAAAAATGCAAAATTTCATAAACATGCTGTACAAAATACCATGTCAAGCATCTCAAAATATGTTTCGATGAAATTCCAGAAACAATCCTGGGTCCCAGGCGATACTTCGATAAACTTTTGAAACACATTGAGGATCCCATGGGACACTTTGGTGAAATCTTAAAACAAATCGAGGATCCAAAAGATTCTTCTACAGAATTTCAAAAAATATTCTGGATCCCAGAAGATGGCGGATTCAGGTCTTAGGAACTGTGATCGCAGGATCTTTTTTTGATACCTTGGCACATGTCTTGTTCGCATGTTTCGAATCATTAAGCTTACAGGAACTGCTGGTTTAAGGACGTTATCAAACAAGCCTTGGCGAGAAAGCTGAACGTTTCAATAAGGTCCTCATGTTCGTGAGTGTTAGTGCTGGCTTGCTTCAAGGTAGTGTTTCACGTTTGTATGGGGTTGTTAATTGAAACAGCCATTTTGAAGATATTTCGGAGCAGTTCACAGCCCTGCCCTTTTAATAGCTAAAATCCTGTTCCTGAGGTACACTCACGCGAAGATGTGTAGACTATTTCAGGGCAATTCGGTCATGCATGACGTCATAGCAACGTCATTCAAATTATGTCGCCACAAAGATCATGCGACGTTCAAGGCAAAAAGAAATATTATCGTAAATCCGTACAGATATAGTGTCCACAAGCAAGGTTTCCGAGCATCGCAGATGTCAACTTGCTTTCAATCAGTGTTGGGCAAGCTGCCAACAAAGTTTTATCGCAAGTCATATTTTGTGCTACGTGATATAATAAATTGGACACTATTGCTAGGCATTACGGAAATAAGACTTGTAATGGAATAAGTTAAGAATAGCGCCATAACCGAGCATGTCAATGAAAGCAAACACGTTAAACTCAAAACAACAAATATGCAAGAACGCCACGAGAAAGGGTCAACACACGCACACTGAAAGATATTTGACTCAGCGAATACTTCCAGCACCACCTCTGTCATCTCTTGGCAAGATTAGAGTTTACAAGTGAGTGCTAGGGTGGCAGTTTCGCAGGTTAGTTTGGTAGTACCTCAACGTCATACATACGTTCCATGACGCAACCAAACAATGACGCATTGAGCAGCGCATCTACGGAATAGAGAAACGTTGTTGTCTAGAACAGCCTTTTCCACTTAACTTATGCCAGCTTGTCATCATATCTGATGCTTGCTTCAATATCTTTAGATGTGAAACATTCCCTGAAATCATGCTATGTACACAAATGCTTGCATAACAACTTCGTTTAACCAATGTCTCCTGGAATAATGAAGGTCGATAATTTGCACCAATATTTCATGGTGCAAATAAAAAACGCCGAAAAGCCTGAAGTGACGGACTTCCTTGCTTAAACAAAAATATGTCTCCGTTTCTATTCTGACCCTCATTCCGCACGTCTCTTCGCAACTGGCAGGTTGGCAGTAGATTAGCGCACAACAGTCATCAGCATATGAATGACGCGCCCGAGACGCATCGATCGGCGGGCAGCAGCGGTGGAATGTTGACCGCAGACGACGTAAGCGAGGCGGACACTTGCTCGAAGCGAGGCTGAGGGCTGCTGTGTTTTTTGTTGCTGTTTTTTTGTCACCTCAGGGATCTACAGTGAAATGAAGGTCAACAGCCCGCCGATGCTGGCCGTTGATCAACGTCTCATTCATTTTGCTACATGGATCTATAAAAGTCGTGGATATAAAGCTAGTGCGTGAACAGCTTCGAGTGCTTTGCTCCCGTGCAGATTAAACAGTTCTTCTCACGCTCCCCGCGGAAAAAACACTGCAAAAATGATTAGCGGCGTAAATCCTCTCGCCTTCAAGCAATGCATCAATGTTCTCGTTGCACCTTTCACGATTTGTTGCGTGTGACGTGATAAGCGTCGTTTTTAAATTGCATTCCAGCTCATTACCCTCCAAACTGTTGAGGTGAGGGGCGTCGCGTCTCGTACGTAAATGCACGTGCTGCCTCTTTACTGTAATGAATAAAGACATCAAAACTGGTGACAAGCATTTTGTTTTCCGATGATTGTATTGTGTGCTTGGCTATCAGCGGGCAACAGTGTTTGATGAACATGGCAATAAAATGGTCCCATGACCTGGGATAGTTTTGTGGGACACAGTGGTAAAATGTTGCCCCGCTTTTTTAAAATGCGAACCGAGAAATCAAAATTTTTCTGGAAAGCATTCCACACCGGCCTCATAAGTTTCAAATGACACAGAGCCGACAGTCTTGGCCTGCGAACGGGTCATTTTGCACCTAGTTCCACGAGCAAGCTTGCACTCCCCCACACATGACGGGAATAACATTCAACACCATGATTGCTGCCGTACTCAACAGTGTTGTTCGCGCACCAGCACTGCCGGGGATCTCGGGAAAGGAAGACATATTGCCACTTTGCCGCTCCGGCGATAAATTTCAGCTGATGCAGGCCATATGGGGCAGAATAGCTGTCCGCCCCACCTGGACAGAGGTGCGGTCTGTACCAGTAATGCATAAAACTTTTTCGTACGTGAATTTCAAACGTAGGGTTGCGGACTCTACCACCAACGACCCACGTGTCATTAACGGCCAAATAACGGAGTTTCCCTCTTAATATAGCTGGGATGCCCGGCCTGCTGCCCGGATAGCCCGACTAGCTGGGGTGCCCGACAAAGCCTGTGCAATTAGGTAATTCCCTTTACGAGATGAAAAAGTGACCGCATTGTTTTTGGTGGCAACGTCGCAAATCGATCAGAAGTGTGTTATAGCTATTCCCATCCATACTTTTATGCAATCTCTGAATACACTACAGCGGTATTGCCACCTAATCTGTGTGCGAACCATTTGCCGGAACGGCACAGCTAAACATTCTCTAAAAAAGCACCAGACAATCTATAGTCAAAGCACTCAGCGGCAAACGATGACATTTCAAGCATCGGGTGACCCGATGCTATATGTGACGCAACATGGAATGGACAAATGCGAAACCGGTGCTGGACGCAAGGCCCAGTGACACTCTTCACATTGTGTTCGCGCTGCCAAAACATGCGTTATGAGCTCATATGTCGTAAACAATCGAGCTTGCATGAAATGCTGGTTACACAACGTTATAGAGCATGCATTGGTATACACTATAAGAAAGTTGTCGGTTTCGGAACGGTGTTCGGCTCAACAGTGATAATATCTGCTCTGTACTGCCAAACTAAGTGTATGCCTTTCACCACCGTGCCTCGTCAAAATCTGCGACGATGGATCTGCCGTGTGGCCTCTCATGAATATGTTAGCCTCTGCAAGGTTTGCATCGTTTGGATGCTGAAGGTATTGGAATCATATTACCGTGGTGTTTTGCACGCGCGGCGCGAGTAATGTCACCGAGGTAACCGGACGTGTGCACGACTCAACGGCCACTAGGATATGGTTGGTACCGGTCGACCTGTGAGCGCAGTGCTCCTGTTATTGCTACTGCAGATCTGTGTAGCATTCGGAAAACACAGGGTCGTAAGGCTTGCCCGTTGACCTGTGAACTGTACGCCTCTCACCCGAGTTTGCTTCTCCGTTCTCAGCTCAGTACATTATTGTTTGTACATTTGCGAGAAAAATTGCGTTTGGAAGTAAGAAATCGCCCAGGCCTCTTGATTGCAGTCAATGACGTGGCCAGTATTTCATCCAGGAGTGGGCCAAATCAGGGCATATGGAGCCCTTTTCGCCAACGGGGCCCCACTTCGTCGCTCTAAGGACCCTGCTAAGGGATTCGGGAGACATTTCAACTCCGGGCTCCCATTCGACTATATATACTCTGCCAGCCGGCTAATAGTGCGTAGGCTTCGTCCAGAACGCGCGTGCAGCCAGCGAGCTACAACGCGCCGCATCGGCATCACTTGCACAAACAAAAATGATATATAACGGTGCCAGTGCAACTACAAAAACACGCTAACTC